AGTGCTGGGATTCAAACCCACGCCCTGACTCCAGACTTCAAGGGAAATGATGCTGCGTTTAGAAAAGTTTCCTGAACATGGTGGTCACGTGGAGATGAATTTCAGCTGATCCCTGCAGTTTGCTCAAGGATCCCTCCTGGGAGAATGGCATGGCAGTGGGGCTGGGACAGCAAAGGCTTCCTAGAGGAGGTAACTCCAAGCTGAGTAAGGACGGAGTAACCTATAGTAGGCATCCATTGTCAGTTAAAAAAATGGGGCTAGTAAATGGAGAAATAGGGGGAAGAGCACTCCAGGCGATAATGCAGGGTCACTTGGGCAAAGGTCAAGGGCAGACTTACCTATCATTTGCAGCTTCATTCACTCTGGCCCCATACTAAGGTGGGGGGTGGGGGGTGGGGGTGGCAGCAGTCAGTCCCAGGTGCAGGCTATAAGGGGTACATATCGGGCAAACTGGGCCATCAGTTTAAAATAATGTCTGTGATAAAATGCTCCTCAGTAAAAAAATATTTTGTTGGTGTAAAATCTAAACAACTGCTATGGATATTATTGAGTTTTTAAAAATTTTATTAATACACAAAACTTAGGAAACCATCCCCCAAATGAAAAGGCAACCTCCCGAAGAGGAGAAAAATATTTGCAAATCATGTATCTGATAAGGGATTCTTATAAAAAATTCTTATGAACTCATGCAATTCAATAGCAAAAAAACAAACAATCTGATTAAAAAATGGGCAGAGGATCTGAATAGGTGTTTTTCCAAAGAAGACACAGACCACCCAATAGGTACATGATAAGGTAATAATATTCAGGGAAATTAAAATCAAAACCACATGACATATCACCTCACACCTATTATAATGTCAACAAGAAGGCAGGAGATCACAAGAACTGGTGAAAATGTGGAGACGAGGGAACTCCTGGGCTCTGTTGGTGGGAAATGTTAATTGGTGTAGCCACTATGGAAAACAGTGTGGAGTTTCCTCAAAAAATTTAAAATAGAGCTACCACGTGATCCAGCAATTTCATATACGGTATTTATCTGAAGGAAAAGAGAACAAGACAACACCAACTCAAAAAGATATCTCACCTCCATGTACACTGCAGCATTATTCAAGATGTGGAGGCAACCTAAGTGTCACTGATGGATGAGTGGATAAAGAAAATGCGGTGTGTATATGTATATTTGTATACACACATATATAATGGAATATTTTATATATTTATAATAATTTATATTTACATAGAATAATTTATATATCATAATTTATTTTATATACAATAATTCATTTTTTTACATAAATGATTTATATATTATCTATAATAATTTGTATTTATATATGATAAATATATATTGCTTAGAAAAAATATATATTATAGAATATTATTCAGCCATGAAAAGAAGGAATTCCGGTCTTTTATGACAACACAATGGACCTTGAGGCGATTATGCTAAGTGAAATAAGTCAGACAGAGAAAGACAAATACCATATGATTTCCCTTATATGTGGAATCTAAACAAAACAATAAACACTGAACTCAAAGATTCATAGTACAGATTGGCGATTGTCAGAGGCTGGGGATGGGGAATGAACAAAATGGATGAAGTTATTTATCCTACAACTTCCAACTGTGGGATAAATAAGTCCTGGGGATGTAATACACAGCATGGTGACTATAGTTAACTATGAAATACTGTATTTCATATTTGAAAGTTGTTGAGAGTAGACCTTAAAGCTCTTATTATAAGGAAGAAAAAATTTGTAACTTGTGTGGTGATAAATGTTAACAGACTTTTTGTGGTGAGCATTTTGAAATGTATACAAATAATGAATCATTATGTTGTACATCTGAAACAATTATTTTGTTATATGGCAATTATATCTCAATTAAAAAAATAAAATATGAAATTATGTAAGCTTTTGTTAGCCTATTTTATTACAGATCCTTCAATAAACATTGTGTTCTATGTGGAAGGTTATTCAGAGAATGTTCAGTTTTATGGTCACCCAGACACACACTGACTCAGCTACACGTTTGGAGCTCACTTTCAGGCACTGGTTGTCTCCAACCCTGCAGTATTTAGATACACCTGTCTTTTACACAGGAACTTCATATAAACAATCATGATTTATAGTCACTGATTATAAAGGCAAAGAAACAATTTACTTCAATTCTGCCATTCAATAGAACCAGTTGGAATTTTGTGTTAAAATTTGAAATAGTGAAAGAGTGCAAAATGAGAGGCAAAATATTTTTGCTTGGCTAAGTGAATTTTAGTTCATACATGAAATATTTTCCTGAACTTGAATCATACTTTTAAAATGGAAATTTAGTCTTGTAAAATTGTTAATTGTTTTAAAATGAAAGATATATCAGGAAATATTACATCATTTGTACAACTTAGCATTTTGGTTTTATTTAAGTTCACTTGTTAGGTATCTGGGGATCATTTATAAAAGTACTATATTAGACTATAAGGAAAGGATCACAGTTCAAATAGTTGTGAAAATTATTGAAATAAATAGTTGTACTTTTTCATTTTTTTGTACAGTAATATTGTATGTATGTATTTACTTTACTAGCATGAATATACACACATTAAAGAAAATCTTCACTTCTATATTCTTTTTTGGCCATTATTATTATTGATTTCATTTCACTTGAAAAGATGGTATTTGTATTATGAAAGTAATTTTTATCCTATAGAGGAGTGAGGTGTTAAAAAATGATGCGCTCTGAATGTCAAATATGATTCATTCCACAAATATTTTCTAAGTGACATGTTGGGAGGAACACTGGATGTACGATAACTGGAAGGGGGCGTCAGTGGGAGTCAGAGAGGCCCTGGTAGGAGGAGACATCTAAGTAGGTGTTAGTCATAGCAGCACAGCCACTGTTTCTCCCAGGCCTGTTCTCAGCCTGGGAGCTGGAGACACAAAGATACTGAAGACTCTCATTACCCAACCTGTTAAGAGAGAGAAGTCCCTGCTCTCACCAAAGCCCCACTTGTCTATCTGTATTCTGGGTCCTGTCCTATCAATGTTGCTCCTTTAATTAAGCCCTCTCTCCCTCTCTCTCTGCTTCAGCGGTTCTCTTTATTGGTGGATCCCCATCAACCTCCCTTAATCCTCTTCCCAACTAGTACCTCATTTCTCTGCTCTATTCACTGCAAACCTCTTTGGAAGGGTTGTCACAGACAGTCTCAATGTCTCCACCTCATCAAGTCCTATTCTCTTCTCACCCACTCTGATCAGGATTCTAGCTCCTCTGTAATTGCTTTTGTCAAAGTCACCAGTGACCTCCATCTTGTGAAATCTAATAGGCACTTACGTGGTTCATATTTCAGCAACATTTGATGCAGCTGAATAGTCCCTCTTTTAAACATATGTTTCTCTTGCCTTCTTGAAATATCATCTCCTGTCCTCCCCCCTACTTCTCTGCTGTTACTTCTCAGTCTCTTTGGATAACCACTCTGTTCTGCTGGACCTTAAATGTAGAGATAACTCAGGTTTTGTCCTCAGTCCTTTTCTCTATCTTCGTGCTTAATATTATCCACTCTAATGGCCTCGTCTCCACCATCTCTGTTTACAGCCCTGACCTCTCACTGAGATTTAATAGACATCTCAGTATCAACAAGCCTAGAAAGGAATTCTTGTTTCAGCTGCCTCCACATCTGCTCTGTCTTTCTGTATTACTATGCAGCGCAGTCATCACTCAGTTGCTCAAGTCAGTATTCCAGGGCTCATCTTTGATTCCTCCCAGCCCTGTATCATTCCAATCCATTACTAGGTCCTGTCCATGTTAATTCTAAAGTATTCTCTAATCACCATCACCACCCCCACCAAACACTCACATCCTGGAGAGCTCCTTTAGCTTTCGAACTGGTGACCCTGCTTCCTTCTTGTTCCCTGTAACCCACAAGCCCCAATGGAGCCCATGATTGTTTTAAAAAACTTAGATCCTATCCATTTCCTGCTTAAAATATTTCAGTGGCTACCCATCACACTTAGAATAAAATCCAAACTACTGTCCACGGTCTCCAAGACCCTGTGCATCTCTGTCCTCATGTCATTCCACTCTCCCCTTTGCTTACTTCACTAGGGTCCCTGGTCACCCTATTTTTCCTCTAGCATGCCAAGTTCTTTCTTACCTCAGGTCCTTCCAACCTTTCTGTGGCTAATTCCCTTCAGGTACTTAGGTCTCAGCTCACCATTTCCTATTTTTGTTTTCTCCATAGCATGTAACACCATCTAAAAGTATATTAACTACTGACTTTATTATATTAATTTGCCCATTTAGGATGAAAATTCCTTGAGAGCAGGGGCTTTGTCCTGTCTTGTTTGCCATTCCATCTCTAGTTCCAAAGCACAGTGCCTGGCACACATTAGGTACTAAGTATTTAAGTTCTGTCGAATAAAGGCACTGCGCCACGGAGTTCTCAGTTTTCAGTTTGAATACACAAGGGACAGAGCTACTTGGCCTGTAGTAGAAAAGGCCGAGGCCTCCGGCAGCTTCTGGCCAGACTCGGACTAGCAGGGTGGTGGGAGAGGCTCTGGGGTAGGCAGAGGCCCTAGACCCCTACCTGCCTACCGCTCTCTCCAGTCTCCGCGGTTTCTTCGCTAGGAGGTCCGCAAGGCCTGGCTGGAGTCAGAAACGTCGGTGTCCCCACCCTCACTTGGGCCAAACAGCTCAGACTGGGTGGACCCGATGGTAGACATAAGTGGCCCGTGTTAGTGACCCTGCTGCGTTGGGGCAGCAGAGGGGACCTCCGACGGCGGGGCGGGGCGGGGCCCGGGTCCCGCTGGTGGGTGGGGCACGAGTGCAGCTCTGGCTCCGCCCCTTGGGGGCGGGGAGTAGAAGCTCAGCGAGGTGATTGTGGCGTGGCGGTGCTGGGCAGCCGACCTGCGACGCCCAGGCGGCGGGTCTCAGCTGCATTCTGACGTGGGCCTGGTGGCCTGGTCCCGCGCACAGCGTGGCTGTGCAGTAGATCCCAGGCTGAGATGGAGCAGGAGGCCGATGGGCTGAGCCAGTGGCAGGCGGCTCAGCACCAGCTCGTGGAGGTGAGTCCGGGCGGCAGCCTGGGGCTGGGTAAGTGGAGGAAAGCTGAAATCCTCTGAGGTATCAGCCGTTTGAGGGACGCCTCAGGGGAGGGGCGGGAGGGGGAGGGATGGGAGATTGAGGACCTAAATCGAGTCGTTTGTTCAATTAATATTCACAAAGCAATTAGCCTCTGGGTTGGGCATGGGGGAAAAGGGTTCCAGGTAACTCTGACGGTCTAGAGGCTCTTGAGTGCCCAGGAACGAAGACAAAGTTAGGGAGTAAACTGGGTACCGGCAAGGAGGAAAAAATTACTAAATGGCAGGCCTTTGGTAGACTCTGGGATTACAATTGCGTGTTTATCGTAAGATATTATTTCATTAATGCATATCTGAAAGATTAGAAATGTACAGATTACCGTGAAGGAGATGTACAGGGGCCATGGGAGGAGTTTGATCTGATTTAGGAGGTGGAGAAGACAGCTGAGGATTTGGCCTGGGACTGCAGTACCGGTTAGCCGAAGGGCTTCCAGGTCCGAGGCCAGAGACTGTACGCCCCCATCATGGCTGAACTGAGAGATGGGCTGTGAAACCAAGGCCAAGAGCGTGATGGGAGAGGGGGCCGAGGGCAGGGGAGGCAGGGACCCTTTCACCATCGAGGGCCTGCAGGGCTTGAGGTGGTTATTCCAAGAGCAGTAGGAAGCCATTGATGAGTTTAATCATGATTACTCATAATTAGGTTTGTGTTTTAAGAGCGTGCTCTGTTGGACCTGGGCAGAATTCAAGGCAATAGTTAGAAAGCTGTTGTGATAATCTAAGCGAGAATTAAAATGGTGGCCGAATGAGAGAGGTGGAGATGGAGAAAATGGAATGGATCCTGGAGATGTTTTAGAGGTAGATGCAGGAATTGGTTGTTACTTGGGTCTAGGGGGTGAAGCAGGCACCCAGGTCAGTTCACCAGATTTCTGGCTTGCGCAGTTGCTTGAAAATGCTGGTTACATTTTCTGAGAGCAAGAATGAAAAGGACAGGATTAATACGCTTTTTTAACCCTTGGAGGTGTGTGGGTTGATCAGGATGTTGGAGAGTTTCGGACTAGTCCATTGAAGTGCCTTGAAGCCATCTGCATGGACGGAGCTTTAGGCAGCTGGAATGTTCCGGAGAGATCTGCCCCGGAGCTACTAATTTAAAAATAATTGGAGTATAAACAGAAGTGGATTCATTAGCATGAGAAAGATTGCCCAGAGAGCTCAGGGAAAACCTGTAAGGAAGACCGAAAAGGAGGAGGGCTAGAAAAAGGAAGGAGGAAAACCGGGCCAGTGTGACAGTGTGTTCCCGAGGCACGAGAAAGGAGTTTTTCGAGAAGAGCAGCCCGTGGTCTCAGAAGCCCCGGGGAGGTCACGCGAGGACGAGTCTGACAAGTGTTCGGACTTAGTGGCATGGAGGTCATGGGTTACCTTTATGAAAGCTTTCTGTGGAGATACATGGACCAGATCGGATTTGGGGGAATAATAAGGTGAGGTAGTGGTGAAAGTGTATTTAGACATCTTCAGAAAAGTTTGCCCGTGAAGGATCAAGAACTTAAAAGAGGGGTATTATTGAGAGGGAGGGAAAAGGGGCTGAGGGCTCCAGAAACACCCCTCCAAAAGACAGCTAATTATCTGGGGCCTTTTACGGTCCTACTTATGCTGCTTCCTGAGTATATAGTGATGAATGAAACAGGCTGTCCTCAACACTTCTGCGGCTAAAAAAAATTGTTTTCCTTCTTACTCAAAACATCATCAAACCTATCAAAATAAATGATAATTTCTTAGTATCATCTTATATATAATTCTTACTCAAATTCCCCTAGTTGTCCTTACTGTGTCCTTTACAACAGGCATGTCCAAACCACTACCCAATTTAAGACAATATGCTTCATCTGATTTTTATGTTTCTTGAGTCTCTTGGAAATTAGAATGATTTTCTTTTTTCCTGACTGACTTTTTCATGATCCTAATTTTTGTCTTGTAGAATATTCCTTCTTCTGGATCAGATTGATTTCTCATGGTACCATTTGGCTTGATGTCCTTATCTCTAATATTACCTCTAACTTGGAGTTAGATCTTAAAGCTTAATTGGATTTGTGGTTTTTGGTAAGAGTGACTCATGGGTCCTGACGGGCTTCATCCCGCATACCAGGAGACATATTTGGTTCCCTGCGTTTAGTTACACTAGACTTGGCCCTTGAATTAAGGTATGGAAAAGCCTGTTTGATCTCCTATGCAGATTTATCTTTTAACCTTGCCATCAGAAAGTGATTTGTGTAGATCTGTGTAATGTTACCTTGCATGTATCCAAATGCCCAGTTCCCCACCATTCACTTCCTGGTTTCAGCCAAATATTAATTTTTCCTTAAAAGTTTCCTTAGGTGGTTGTAAAATAATGATTTTCGACTTTCATCATTCTTTCTACATTTATTAGTTTGTGTTCTTCCATAAAGTAGGAGTTTTCTTAAACAAATGGAATTATTTAGTCATTGTGAAATAGTTTCCTACCAGAAAGAATAAGTGCTTCATTCTTTCACTTCAGTTCACAATGTTTAAAGGTGGGATAAGAGCTGACCCTTGTTACTTTGGCTCATGAATTTTCAGATTCAATCTATTAAAATCAATTATTCTTTTTGATTCTCAAAATCGTCACTAATTTGGCCACTGGGAACCCCTTCTGTGTCTTTTAAAAAATATTTAAACAATTTGTGGTAAGATATGCATAACATAAAAACATGCTTAAGTGTATAGTAAGCATATTCACATTATTGTGGGTCCATCACCACCATCCATCTCCAGAGCTTTTTCATCATCTAAAACTGAAACTCCTTAACCTTTTAAAAGTAACTTTTCCATTCCTCCTACCCAGTCCCTGGCAACCACCATTCTACTTTGTGTTTCTTCAGATTTGACTTCTCTTAAGAACCTCATGTAAATGGAATCACACATTTATCCTATTGTTACTGGCTTAATGTCTTCCTCATGTTGAACTCATGTTGAAGAGTTTGTCTGAATCTCCCTCCATTTTAGGGCTGAATAATATTCCATTGTATGTATATCACATTTTGTTTATCCATTCACCTGTTGATGGACCCTTGGGTTGCTTCCACATTTTGGCTACTGTGAGTAATGCTGCTTTGAATGTGGGTGAACAAATACCTATTCCAGTCCCTGCTTTCAATTTTCAATAGGTGTATAACCAGTCATGGAATTGCTGGAACATATGGTAATTCTGTTTGTAATTTGTTGAAGAACTGCCATACTGCTTTCCATAGTGGCTGCACCACTACATTCCCACCAGTGGTTGCACAAGATTCCAGTTTCTCTACATCCTGCCAACACTTTTGGGGTTTTTTGGGTAATAGTTACTGTAATGGGTACAAACTGGCATCTCATTGTGGTTTTGATTTCCATTTCCCTAATAGTTAGAGATGTTGAACATCTCTTCATGTGCTTCTTGGCCACTTGTATGTCTTTGGAGAGAAGTCTATTTCAAATCTTTTGCCCATTTTTGAATCTAGTTTTTATGTTCTCTGTGTATTCTGGATATTAGTCCCTTGTCAGATATGTCAGAATTTGCAGATGTTTTCTCCCATTCCATCGGTTGCCTTTAATACTCTGTTGGTAGTGTCTTTGGATGCACAAAAGTTTTAAATTTTGATTAAGTCCAATTTTGTCAATTTTTTCTTCTCCTGCCTATGCCTTTGGTGTCATGTCCAAGAAATAATTGTCCAAATCCAATGGCATGAAGCATCCCCTTAGATTTTTTCCTAAGCTTTTTATAATTTTAGCTTTTATGTTTAGGTTTTTGATCCATTTTGAGTTAATTTTTGTATGTGGTTTTGAGGGTCCAACGTCATTCTTTGCAAGTGGATATCTAGTTATACTAGCACCTTTTATTGAAAAGACTGTCTTATCCCCAGTGGATGGTCTTGGAACCTTTGTTGAAAATCATATATATGGGGATTTATTTGGGGGCTCTATTCCTTTAAGTTGTAAAGAGGTCTATCCTTAATGCCAGCACAACACTGTTTCAATTACTGTGGCTTTGTAGTAAATTTTGAATCAGGCAGTATGTCCAGCATCTGGTCTGGGTCAGTGCCATGGTAGATGAACTTGCAGAATGTCCACTTCTGCCATCTTGTTGGTTTTTGGAAAGCTCTACGTTTAAGATTGCATCATCTGGGAACAGAGTTACTTTTAATGCTTTTTTAATTTGGGTGCCTTTTATTTCTTTTTCTTGCCTAATTGGACTGGCTAGACCCAATATGATGTTGAATGAAAGTGGTGAAATCAGGCATCCTTGTCTTGTTCCTGATCTTAGAGGAAAAGTCTTTCACCATTGATGGTGATGTCAGAAGTGGCTTTTTCATAAATACCCTTTATCATGTTGGAAGTGTTCTAGTTTTTTAGTGCTTTTTTTTTTAATCCTGAAAGGATGTTGGATATTTCAAAAATGCTTTTTCTGCATCAGTTGATAGGTTTGTGTTTTCCCTTATTTAATATATTTACATTGATCAGGTGATAGGTTTGTGTTTTCCCTTATTTAATATATTTACATTGATTGATTTTTGTATATTTAATCAGCCTTGCATTCCAGGGATACATCCCACTTGATCATGTATAATCTGCTTAATTTGTGGGTGGATTTGATTTGTTAGTTTTTTGTTGAGGATTTTTGCATCTATATTAGTAAAAAAAGTTGGTCTCTAGTTTTCTTGTGATGATGTTTTGTCTGTTTTTGATATCAGGTAATGCTGGGCTCACAGAATGAGTTGGGAAGTATTCCTCCCTCTTAAATTTTTAAAGAATTTTAAAGAATTCAAGAAACACTGGTGTTCTTAAATGTTTAGTAAAATTTACCATGAAGCTATCAAGTTCAGAACCTTGCGTTGCCCTGGGGCTCTTGATTGCTGATTCCTTTTTCTTACTAGTTATGGGTTTACTTAGATTTCCATTTCTTTATGATTCACTGTTGGTAGGTTTGTCTTTCTACG